TGTGTGTGTGTGTGTGTGTGTGTGTGTGTGTGTGTGTGTGTGTGTGTTATGTACCCCCGCATACATGTTAAAAGATTAAAAATTTGCATATTAACCATTTACCTGCTGTGTGTATGTGACTGCATTGCATTGCACTGCCAGAAACAAGCAGAAAGTAGCTCAAGTAGCCAAAGTGAAAAAAAAAAAAAACGAAAAACAAGAAAAAGACATAAAAAGGAAAAAAAACGAACACCACAAAGTGCAATCAATACTTAAACAACATGAAACATAGATACAACACAAGCACATAGAGCACATGCAATTTCATTTTCATCCATTTCCAACAAACATGGCACGTTGTTGCTGTTTGCTTTGGCTATGTATGTATGTATGTATGTGCATAGTTGTTGAAACATTGTACATTCGTGGACATACATAGCATAGTATAGCATATATAGAGGCAAGCATGCATCTGTAATGAAAAGAAAGAATGAGAAAAAAAAAAAAAGAAAAAACTAAAAGAAAAACAGTAGAACGCGTGCGGCAGTGCTCAATGGGTCAAAATATGAGGCTCTTAATAGACGCTGACAGTTACAAAGTGCCAAGCAATTGTGCAAAAATACCACGCGAATAATACATCTAAGCATGTCTGTCTATGTATCTATGTAATGGAGATAATCAGCAACAGCAGCAGCAGCAACAACAACAACAACAACAAGAACAATAATAATAATAACAATTTTAACAATAACAACTACAAACATATGAATTTCGTATGTAATTTTGTACAGCATACAGCGACCTTTGATGAACATAACGAACGCCAGCAACAAGAACAGCAACAACATTTATTCGCAAAACAAATGCTATTTCAATTGCAACATTTCGTATTACACACTTATTTATACATATATACATACATACATACATACAAACATACATACAAACATACAAGCATGAACATTATTATGCACATGCACATGCACATGCACATATACGCGGATATATATGTAGATTATAACTTGTACTACTTACATATGCTCCCGCTGTGCCAACAGCTTTGTATATCGATATATATATATATATATATATGCTCGTTTGTAATTTTGCGAAAGAATGGACAACAGAGGGTTCAACAAAATTTAGTTACATGCATAGCTTTCGGCAATTAAAGCGCCAAAGAAAGAAAGCTTTGTCAAGTCGTAAACAGAACAATTTCAGAGATTTTTTTTTTTTTTTATGTGCACTTTATACAACAACAGCAATAACAACAACAATAATCGAATTGAATTAATGAAATTGATATCCTCAAGACATACGTAGCTACTGGCAATTACACTCATCCGTCCACCTTTGGCTTACTCCGTCAATAGACGTGAAATAGTAGTATGAGATTTATAATAAGATGCCTTTAAACTACATGCACACACTTAAATTAATAGTCAACTGGTAGCGCAAAGAATTGCATTTTGTTACTTATTAATTCGAAACAAATTCGAAATGAATGCTTGAGAGTCAAGACAAGATGAAAATAATTTCATTTTTATAGCCTAAAACTATGATGTGTTTTATCTAAAGCAACTTACTTTTCATATTTCGTCTACGATAAGTGCGGGTATGTTAATATAGTCATTCGGTTCGGTAATATTCAAAACTAGATATCACTGCACACATACAAACAAAATGTACATTTTCTTCATAAACATGAATTAAATCTGACTCAGTTCAGCTAAGTCGATCCATAGCTTCACTTGTTATTAACATTCTCCCGCTCTGTTTGTTCTGTCATATGATTCGATTCAAAAAACAAGCTAAACAGCTTTACTTGAAATAAAAAGGGGTAAAAAGGGGGTGTTTGCAAAGCTATCGATCAATATTTTTGCTCATCCTTAATAGCAATCAGTTTCAAGCGAATTCTTAATAAAATCTTTTGCAAGCATGTTTTCCCCATTGTTTAGCCAAGGTGCTAGCAAAAGCGAGTCGACTCATTGAGGAATATTAGTTTCTTGCTTGTTAAAATTAAGAATAAAAATTGCAACAAAGTAGAAAATTGAAAGAGTTCTCTCAATTTAAGGCAAACATTAAAGTTGATAGAAAAAATTTACATTGCTTTCTCGTGGCCTGGAAAACACACATTCGCAAATTTAGTTGATCCGCAAACTATACATGCAGGATTTATCAGAAAATTCCGAAAAAGTTATTATCATTATTATTATTAATTTCGCCAGAGAAATAAATTCTAAGACTTAACTATTAAAAGCACAAGCATCTAAGGCTATCGGCTTTTATTAAAAACTCTACCGCACTTGAGATTCGAACCCACGACCATTATCAGGGAACTTCACATTGGCCTTATCTAGCGAAAAATGGATAAGTTATAAGTTGACGTTTTTTTGGTCAAAATCCCGGTTGTTGCACAAAAATTATCGCTTCTACATGTTTCGCAAGGGCATTGAACGTTTTTGCTTTTAAAGATTCAAATTTTAGTCTTTACCTCTCAAAGCTCAGAACGAGGTGATCTCGGTTTTCAATATTTTCTATATTTTCAATATTTTATGATCGCCATTAAGGCCATGATAAAGCTTTTAGGAAAAGCTGATCTTATCCATCTGTAAAGCGCATCATAAAATCATTGCCACGAGGTCTTATTGCCGAAAGGGATATCAATTATGAAAGGATTTGTGGAAAACCTTGCTCGACATGTTTAGTTCACAACAAACGAGCTTTCCACAGAAGACAAAATTAATTCGTTTTTACACACCCACTACGGAATGTTGGGAGTATATTAGCTGTGTCAAAACGTTTGCAACAGCAGAACAAAAAAAATAGAGAGACTCACCCCTTGATCAACATGTAACGCTTTTGTTTCCATTTCTTTTAAGTGTCTTTTTAGAAAAAATGTGACGATTGCTTAGCAGAATGCACTTTTCATACTTGTTTGCACTTAAAGATCTAATACAAAGCACTTTCAGGTTTCTTTAAACCTTTGTGATATTTTACTTAAGAGCCTAGTGTTGACAGGTAAATTTTAGCAAAGTGCAATCGATCTCACACATCATTCATTGCAACGAAGTTTTTTTCTTAAATTTATTTTTATTTTTACAGCTAGATTTTTGTACTGAGTATTTTTATAATTTAATTTATATAAATACTAACAATCTCATGTAAATCTATTAAAATCCTTATGATTGATAGTTGCATAATAAATCTACTATTTATCACGCTATCTACTTTTTCTACACTTTCGATCACAAATTTACCAGCCTCCACCGTGTTCTTTCTGCACGACATGCTTATAGATCGGATATGGTACAGGATACGGTTTGGGTACGACAATCTTAATTTGTTTTACCACCTCGACCGGGTAGGGTTTCTCCACCTCTACCGGATATGGTTTCTCAACGGTATACGGTATACGTTTCTCAGTTATTTCTGGCACAATACGATAGGTCGGTACTTGTATCTCCTGCTGGACTGGCACATGGACGGCATAAGGTTCAGGAATTTGTAAACGTATGACATTGGGCACTTTAACAGGCACTGGATGCGGAATGGGTAAAGGAATTTTCTCAATGACTTGCACTGGCACAGGTTTTGAAACTTCCGAATATGTTTCCAACGGCTGATGGTGACCGGATAAGGATTGATGGCCATCCGATATGGTTAAATCCTCGGTGCTAACATGCGAGGCTGCGCTTATCGTTAAAAAGTATGCCAAACTTATCAAGGTAGCTGGTAACATCTGTTTTGAAATTGAAAGCAACAGCTTCTCCGTGTCTCTCTCTTTTTAAACAATTTTGTAGATATTGAATATTTTACTTACTCTAAACTTATCCATTGTGTGTTTTGTATTAAACAATTTATAAAATATATATATATATTATGATATATTATGTTTATGTGGCTTCAAAGGCCAGAGACGGTGTACTGCGGTCTTATTCGTTATGGCCTTGGCTTTTATTCAAAAAACTTTTGTTCCGCTATTTACAACCCAAAAAAGTGAAAGATATACAAAAAGCTTTGTTGTGTAACGTTTAACGCTCTAGAAAGGAAAATTATTTTACTCTGCGATGCATAAGTAAAGCAAAATCGCAGTTAGACTTGGCGATATTATATCGTGTTATAAATGAAAGTTTAATGTTTTTTCTTTCCATTTTCATTTTCATTTCCATTTCTTTTTTTTTTTCCTCTATATATATATATATATGTGTGTTCACAATTCGGAACAACTGATCAAATAACAAGTGGAAGTAAATGCTGACTGACATAAGCCTTTAGGTATAGGTATAGCACCCGCTCTCTCAAGTCTACACATACAATGAACAAGAAAAGCAAAAAAAAAAAAAAGTAATAGGAGATATAGCAGTAGTAGCAAGCAAACAATAAAATGATAATATTGACAGGTAAGGCAGCCTTTAATAACTAAGTCAAAGAAATGATTATGAAATTAATCAAAAGAAAACTTATATTTAATATCAGATCATAAAGGCAAACTTCCGGACTCTACTACTGTGTTTACAAATAAAAGTTCATGAAAATTTTGACAAAAAAACTTGAATAATATCATTATCACGGCCATCATTATCATCATCATCGTCATAATCATCATTGTCATCATTATAATCATCATTACTATGAACAAATTTCAGCATCAGCTTAATTTACTTCCCCACTTTTTTTCTTAATGCTTGTTACCACTTTTAAGTTTGAGAAGAAGAAGAAGAAAAATAAATAAAAAAAATTAAAAACATGGTTTGGTGAACAACTATTTGTTTGTGCATTCGGTGAATAAATCTGTGAGACATTTGATATAGAAACTTGTTATGAATTGCATGAGAAACTCATTGACAACAATGTACAACAGGCTATGGTTGAATCAAGTCAGTGTTAAATGGGGCATAACTTACTTTCAAACATCAAACTTTTTTTTTTTCTTTTCATATTTTACCTCAGAGATTTTTCTTTCCTTTGAAACACACACGTTCACATACACACACACACACACACACACACACAGGCACTCTTAAGTGTCTAAGCGTTGTTCAAGATTGAATACAATGTTATGTTGGATAATTGTTATGTAAACACAAGTTATTGAATTTTATATAACCGAAAGCTTACATATAACCAAAACTTACTTTTATTTTAAATACAAAATTACGTTTTCTAATCGTTAAAATAGTCTGCGAGTGTTGTTAGTTATTATGCTTTTTCACACCTTCTCCTCTTTTCTTATGCAGACTTTATATAGATGTACTTCCCCGTTGCATTATTTTCGTTTCAGGTTGTGTTGTGACATTTGTTCTTTTAATTTCTTCTCAATTTACTTTAAACATGAAACGGTTCTCTTGTTGTTTGTATACATACGTCCCTATCAATAATTGAATAATGTATAGATAATCAAACATTGAAAACTTGCATAACAATTCGAATCGTTACATAATAGCAATGTTACCATGCTGGTAAGACGCACAAAAGCAAAATGTAAAAGATAATAAGGCAAAGGTTAACGGGTCACTTCTCAGAAATTGGATAACACCCAATTCACATATCGGGACACTCTAATGTTAGCTTATGATCCGTAGATGGACGACAAAAAGTACGATCGATTGAAATGTCTTTTTTATAATTATCAAGGCGTTATGCTTTTACCGATGAATGCCTTCAATAAAGCCCGATCAGACCTTAGTAAAGTATGATGCGCATCGCATCAAGAATTGCATCTGGTAGACTGAGTTAATAATCGTACTCCTTATTTGTTAGGTTATGCGGGGAACTATTTAAGTCTCCTCGATCACTAATCCCCCCACATTCACGGCATATAGAACAAGAAATTCTTTTAATTATATAATATTTCGATGAAATATCTAAAGTCAAACGATATGACTTCAAGTCACATACACGGAAAAGCGTTATCCAACCAAAGAAAAAAAAAAAAAAAAAAAAAAATTTAAATTCTTTTCAAAACTACTGAAGAATAACTTCAAGTTGGTTACTTGAAGATAAAACGTGTAGCGTGTGAAAAACAAATTTTTAACTGACAAATAAGACAAAGGCTGACAGAAGTCAATCAAATCACATCATTGTAAATAAGTTATTTAAAAAGAGAGAGAGACAAAAAAAAAAAAAACTAAAAACATTTTGACAACAAATTTAACTGACGGATAAACTGCCAACCGTCAGATTCATACACACATTGGCGCCCTCTTACCAAACTAAGCTTGCCTGCAAGCAATATTTTTTGATTAGTGTATGAAAAATGTACTCTACGTATAGTAAAGGAAGGCTATGCGATGCTTTGGGTTTCTTAAAAAAATTGCATGCATTTTAATGAATTCCTCTAGGGGCCAATAAACAAGTGATGGACGGACATATTTAAAATGTCAACAGTTCCTTTGCTTTTGTTTTTCTTTGTTTTCGTTGTTTTCGTTATTTTTTTCTTTTTTTTTTTGTTCTTTATTTATCCTAAATTTATTCAAGTTGAAAATTTCAAAATTTTTTAAGGTTTGCCATCGATGGCATGAAAATTAACCAATGATGAACGTAACTACCGTACGCGGTACACACTGAGAGCATATATATATATATATATATTGATATTCTGTTGTGTGCAGCACATTGTGCCCCCAAAAAATTTAAGCATAAATTAAATTAGCGCAAAATCTTCTCAGCAAAAGAAACGCGTAAAGGTAAGAGGTAAAAAGAGTGTAGCCAACCAACCAACACCCAACCCAACCAACATCGATACACACTTTTTGATTTCCCAAAGTACGACAAGAAAGCAGTGAACGTGTTTTTTTTTTTCTTTTTTCTTTTTTTCTTTGCCTTTTTTTTTGACGATAACGACATTGAAGCGTAGTCAAAGTTAAAAGTGGTGGCAGCGTCAGTGTGAATATTGTCAATAAACGCGGTATTATTTGCGGGACCTCTGTCCATGAGTGGTTTCTTCTCTCCTTCTCCGTCTCTCTCTCTCTCTCTCTCTCTCTCTCTCTTTCATTTTTTTGTTTCCTTCTCTCTCCTCATTATTGTTAAATTTCACGTTTAACTTAACTACCGCGCGTTATGCGGAGAATTTGAATTCAATTCAGTTGGTTTTATGTGACATAAATTATCAGCGACATGACCAGGTATGCAATAACAACAACAACAACAATAGCAACAACACCAACAACAACAGCAATATTAACAATAACAGAAGCAAGCACGTCACAGCAGCCACAATTCAAGACATCAACTTGTTCACCATATAACGTAATCTAAAAAACGTTAGCACTGAAGCGTTAATTCAGTTTTCCGTTATTTGTAATGCTTCATAATCCGAAAAATTATTTTTCGAGTTTCACACAAGCACACACACATACACACACACACACACCTAGAAAATCATTTTATAAGCTTCAGCTTTGATTTGTTTATCCATTCAAAAGCAAGCACGTTCATCGCATCATCGTGTTAGCATTAAAGACAGTTTGCGTTGATTACCAACAACTTCTTGAGTAACAGTTTTAAAATCAATTCAAATCAATTTTATGACACATTGATGAAATCTTTAACTTATTGACAGCTAAAGTGCATAGCTAAGTATGCTATGTAAATGCGTGTATGAAACAGATTTTATTAAAGAATTAAGCAAAATAATTCTGGGATATTTTCTAAAGAATTTTTGTAAATTTCTTCTAAAACTTGAGACAAGAAAAACTGATTACTTGCTATATACTTGTATAAAATAATAATTATATCACACAATTGACGCTAAACGCATTTGTTTTAAATGCGAGGTATGCGAGGTAAAGCCTAACCATGTGTTCACAAAAGTTCCTTTCATGCGTTACTAATAATAATAATACCAACCGCATAATGCGTAGAGACTTTGATTTATAAACGAATTTTCCCACAACAACGTTTTTCTTAAAATTCATCAACAAAACGTTCGTTTATTTCTCTTGTCTATTCATGGGGCTATACATATAGTAGTAGTAGTAGTAGTAGTAGTGTTGGCTTTTCACATATGATGACGACATTGTTGGTTGATGTTTGACAGTCGCTTTCACACATTCCTAATTTTTTAATGTCTGCATAGTATAGAGTATCATGTACACATGAAACATATATCGAATGGACTAACATTCATTTAATACAGTCATCTGTCTGCTTAGCTTATCCTGATAATATCCGTTTAATGCAGGGGGATGGGGGTTGGCAGTTATGTTGCCTGCCAGCAGCACTATACATATATATATATATATATATATGTACATATATTTATCATGATATCCTCTCATCTATCAGTTGAATTGGCTGAAGAGCACTTATTGTTCGGATTTCATTTGGAAAATTGTAACGGAACAGGCTGACACGTGTAAACGGATGTCCAATGGCTAACCGGAGATATATTTCATATCCGTTATGTTGCAAATACGAAAAAATATTTGAATAAACTTTATGATTTGTAATTTTTGTTTCATTTTTTTTTCGTTCGTTTTTTTTTTTCTCATTTTTTCCATTTATTTTGATGTTTCTCCCTTGACAACTTTTTTTTTTTTTTTTTTCTATAATACTTCTTAAAAGATATTCAATGAATCGCGGCAATGAATGCTCAACATAAGCACACATGAGCCTTAATAAATTCGATAGTTTGTTTAGGTTATTTTCTATGCATTTTTTTTTTTTTTTTTTTTTTGTGGGAAGTTGGAAGGATTATTATATAATGATAAAATAAATAGGGAAATATAGAGTTATTTCTCAACTCTACTACTGTTATATAATAAGACTCAACTCCTTCTGGATGTTACAGAGCACCCTAAATGAAACTTATCACAAGTGGTGTAGGGTGTAAGAAATTTGATATCGTCTCATTTAATTTTTGCCCACTTTTCCCAATGAATCGCGTTAAACTTAATAGCTGTACAAAAAAGGTTTTAAAAGAAAATTTTGTTATATCAATGAATAATAGTCCGTCTTTCGCCAAAGCACCCATGGATCGACTTTTGATAGAAACAGCCTAAAGGTTAACATCAACAAATTTGAGTTTATAATAGAACCTTCGTTCGACCTATTTCATCTTTCATGGCTCGGAGAGTATTTATTATTTTATACTCTTCATCACTGATCACTGGTCAGTAATAACTAACCTGAAACCAATTTATATTCTCTTGATTGACTTTTCCCC